CTTATATTTGGTTGATATTCCCCATTTATTGCATAACATTTTGACATCTAGTTTTAAAACACTCGTAATTCTTTTTTTATTTTTGGAATTGTATGCATTTTTCAGTTGATCACAAGCATTTTGTAAATCTGTACTTATTTAATTATTGCAATTTTTTTTTTTAATACATCATGCAATGGACGCAACGTTATAATACATATATTGAAGTTAATGAAATTTAATGGTTGTCTGTTATTAGTTTTTTTTTTTTTTTTTTTTTTTAATTCGATTTTTATTGAGAATTTTTGATAAATAAGTTTAATGACGGGAATTAGACAAAATTGGCTGTGAATAGCTTGAAGGAAGTCGGAAGATTCACAGTTAGTCACCTTTAACAAAGAATAACATGAGTTTTATACATTATGAGTACCTATATGTCTTAAAAATTAAGTAGATCTCTGCTCCAGTTATGTTCAAGACATCTTGTGGGATTGTCAGAAAGTGTCATTAAGCCATTTTTGAGATGAGGTGGTTGAAGTTCGTAAAGATTTTCCTGTGAACTTTTATTAGTTACGTATTAAAATTTAATACGTGTTTAGAATGCCACACAACTTACCTTTTCCAAAAAAAGTTATAAATGCTTTTCATAAATACCGATTGTTGATACTGTTTGAATTTAGTATTATATCATTTATATCCATGTAATGGCAATATTGTCAACTAAAAACACGTAAAAACTAATTATTCAAGACAACGGTATCACGATGATAGAAAGATACTGTTATGCTATGTAAGATCTGTGTACCAAAGTCATTATAGCATAAATGTAATTAATGCCTAATTCAGCTAGTAAAAATAAAAACAGATTAGGTACAGAAAAAAACGAGTTATTTTATGTTATTAAAAATATCATAGTGTCATATTGCTATCAAGTAAATCGAGTGATATAGATAACTTATAGTTGATAATCATGGAATGATAATGATTAATGATCTGAAGTCCTAAAATCTAATCAAAACATTTTTGAGTCAAACGTATTTATTATTACGTAGATAGTAAAACATTATCATGAATTAATATATGACTTACAATGTGTATATTAAAATTTAAAGAATGAACCACAAGTAACAAACTGTTTAGAACAAATATATAAGTAATAAATATGTGTGTGTGTGTGTGTATTTTTTTTTAGCAAAAAAATCTAATTTGAGCTCACAAGGTGGATTGATAAAATTAAAATCATTTAAATATAAATATATATGTTATATATGTATTCCATTATACTTGTTTACTAAAGTCTAAAACACTACTAGGAATGTTTCGCTCGTAATAAATTCGCAAGTATCAAATACACAAACGCGATAATGTCTTTCACTGTGTGAGTTATATAATATACATAATAACAATGATAACACAAAATATCGTAATACGAGTGTCTACAATAATATGAAAAATTACACATGACAATAGCAACGACCATAAATACATTGCACGTTTATCGTCTAAATTATTTCATTCTTTGTTTTCATCTGACATCCATTTTGTAGTAGTGTAGAAGAAAACGTGCACACTGAAGTGTTCCTATAAAACATTTTATGGAAATATCTCCGACTCAAATATGCTTATATTAAACCGATATTACTATTTATTTTTATAAATATTTGAAGATTCGATCGATACGAGCTGTGACCCCAGTCAGGCGATAAAATGATTCCAGAAACTATAAATATTATTAAATAAAATTCAGCTGCATGTTTACACGAATCATTCACAATATTAATATATAAAATAAAATGCAATTATATCATCTATTTAATTTTTTAAGCCATATCTATTTGTAAGAAAACGGTAACTTGTGATAGCCTTTTGAATATAATTGATTTGATGCCGTATTTAAAACAATTGTATTTAATTTCAATGAAAATATCTGTTCCGATTGTTCCATCCATTTTTTTTTCATTTTATCTTTTTTTTTTTTTTTTAATTAGAAAATTCAATTTTTAATTCAAAATTTGTGATTCTCAAAATGTTATAAAAACGTATTACTATTACTTTTGTTAACTTAAAACGTAAAATAACTACATTTAATACAGTGAAGGTCAAGGTGTTTAGTATAAACAATTTACATTATAATAACGTTTTATTTAACATTATATTATTATACAGTTAATAATTTAATATGTCTATTTATGAAAACAAGTATAATAATCATAATGTATTATTTCAATTGTTTTGTCTTTTTAGATTAGAATCACATTTCAGAAGTTATACGTTAATATTACGTTATACGTATAAGTTTATATGCAAACAAACATTACAAACAGTTAATAACTCAAATTAATAAAAGAACCATTTATTACCTTTCGCATAATATAATAAATATAATTAGATATTTTGAATTGTTTGTCCTATTTTGCTTTGTAAATACAATATAAATAGAATAAAATATAAAATTCAAAAAGAAAATAAGCTTTGCTACTTTAAAAAATATGTACATGTGTTATTAAAATTAAATTTGATTTATCATCTTGGGGTTTTTGGGTTCATGTTAGCGACTTTTAATATTTACACAGGTACGATGCTATTTATTATTTTTATTACTTTCTTAACATGCCAACATTTGAATTGTATTAGTAAAATAATACTCGTGTAGGCACGGTGTTGATAAATAAGAATATTTATATTTAAGTATTAATCATATACATATATGATTATTAGAATAATTACAAACTTCAAATTTTATTTGAACTTTACACGACATTGTACTATAATCTGTTATTTAATCGTTTTTATTGCATTTATTTCAAAACTCGTATAAATGTATTTGTAATAATTATTAACCTATAGGCGTATACTGAATATGAGTATTCTCGTAATAATATGTATCGCTTGTGTTTCAAAACATTTTATAATAACGATATTTATTTATAATATACACAATACACATCCTAGAAAAAATTATATCATTATCCCGCATTCACACACAAAACGAATTACAGTAATTTCAATGTCGGTCTATTATAATATTATTATCTGTTATTAAAATCGTTGTTTTGAAACTAAATATCTGTAATATCAGCATATAAAAATTATACAAAATAATTCTTTTGAAGGTATACACTCATATTATCTTCTAAAAGCATTCATTTTTTATAATTTGAAATAACGACATTTTACCTTTTTTTTTTATTCTTGCCACCGTTTTATTAATTGTTAACTTTTTTAATGTACAGTATCCGTTTTTAATTATATGTACGTTCCAAAGCAAAACATTTTTCTGAAAAATTAACGGCCAATTTTCAAAGATAAATTATAAAATAAAAAACGAATAAAAAATGTATTATTATTTATTATAATGAAGTACATAACTTGCCATTTATTTTTTAAAATGACGTTCTCAAGATGATGGCCATATCTTCTAGTCTACTTCATATATTTTCCACTACCCGATGTATTACTTCCAAAAACTAATAATTTCTTCTTTTAGTTTTTTAGTTATCAATAATTTACGGTTTCTGAGAATAGACATTACTTTTTAAATATTTTAATAGCCTTAGCTGATTATAACAGCTTTTAAGATTTAAATGAAGACGAAATGAACGGTGTGCGACTACGCAACTGTTATTATTTTTGTAAACAATTTTAATGCGTAAGACGTTGTTCACAAATCCACTGTTTCATGTTTACTAAATGGTACGTTTCTTTGAACTAATAATTTTTAGTGAGAAATTTTATCTTAATTTCTACATAGAAAATCGACTGTTTCAATGCTCCACTCTGTAAAACATCTGCAATTACTACAGTTCAAAATTTGATTTTAAATAAATTTTAATTCTTAGAAAAATATTTTGTTTTGGAATTTACAATTAAAAATGTATATGTCGTCATTTAATAAGTAAACCACTTAACGATTCTAACAATAAAAATAACTAAGACTAATATTAAAAATAAATAAATAAATATTATTGTGTAAAAAACTATTTTCAAAAACATTAAACATTTCCTATACCTACAATGAATTTTATGATTGTATGTTTATACACCATTATTTCTTATAAATTATAATAATAAATTTATTTAATTCTGATTTTATTGAATACTTAAAAATAGATTTTAAGAACTATATTTTCCAACGTTTAAATTGTTAAAAGCATTTAAAAATATGCAATAACTAGTTAATATTTTGTTTACTATACTCAAACAATCTTTATAGATTTCAATATATTACGTTTAATTTGTTGATAATTATTAGAAATCACTCTCATTTTTAAATCCTTATACGTCTTGTATAAATTTATAAATATATCTTCTGAACCTATTATCATGAACTTTTTATTCTTAGTGCATACACAAGACTACTAGTTAAATATTAAAAGAAATTTTATGGAATCATATTTGTCAAAAATGTATGAGAATAACACGTCTCAGAAAACAAGACGCGTTTGAAACCATCTTAAAAGATATATCTGAGTTCTGGCCTCCAATCTCCATAATAATTATGATCAAAAATATATATATTATACCTGTGTAATTACTCATGCGTTATTCATTTCTTGTTTTATTAATAATATATAAATTATTTATTTATTTATTACATTATTTATTTTATTAATGGCGTGGTGATAACAAACAAGTACCCTTACTCAGTACTCACCACACCTATGTAATTTATTGATATCGTATTATTATTATGTGGGATACAATCGACTATTGGTTTTTGCAACCCACTGAGTAAAAAACACAAACTCTATATCTTTGTGTACTTAAATCATTTTTTGTAAGTACTTCAAATAAATTTGAAATACGTTTATAAAAAAATGTTCACTATTTTAGGGGTTGCGATTGTTATGTTTTGTAATTTATGTCATACGTGTAGAATCTCTGGGAGGGGTTAAATTTTCCGTTTCACCTTTTGGATTCTTCGCCACTAATATAAAATATAATAATTGAATATTATACGCATGTCATAGAAGATAGAATGTTTTAATGGTATGAAATTTAATTTCGTTTTGTCGTTTTAGGACCATTATTGGCCATTGTCGTTATCAGCATCACAGGACAGATACTGCGAATGCTGTCACCAAAATTCGGTTCCTTAGTCGCCGTGGAGGCAGACAGGAAGGCTTATCTCCGTCATATCCATTCCAGGGTTATCACGAATGCCGAAGAAATCGCGTTCTACGGTGGTCACAAGGTAAAAAAAAACAGACTCCATAATTATGATTTATAACGTAATAGTTCTATTTATATATATATTAGTCTTGTTTAGTGTTCAAATACGATTTTGAATATATTTTAAATTAGATTTTTTTTTCTTATTCTCTGAAAACTACATTAAATTTTAACACAAAAAATATTACTTGAAACGAATAAGAATTTTTTTTAAAAATAGTCTATCATTAAAAATTTGTTTTTAAAATTTATAACTTCTTAATTTCAAAAATCCCGCTTTCAAAATGCCATTTTAAAAACATCTATTAACTAAATTAATAATCATAATATTAGGTTATTAATTATCATGACGTATTATTATGTATGGTCTTCTATAAATCGCAATGTAATATAGTTTGTATAAAATATTTAATAAATCTAAATTTACACGAATTCACGAAGTAGATACTTTAGGAAAATTGAAATAAATAATCAATTTAATGTAAAAAAAAAATATATATATTCAAATAATTTTTGTGCTGTTTATTGGAATAGATATCCTGATTAAAAAAAATAAAGTATTGTGTTACACAACTATAGTAATGTATAATCTATGTGTAGCTCAAAGTGTTGATAGTTGATACACATATATGCGCAATTTGTTATTAAACCTAATAATAATAATAATAATACGAATGTGTCGAACTACAGTACAATTATTGTCACCTACAAAATGTACTAACTTACGATTAATCTCTTTAATTAAACTTCCCAACATTATTTATCACTTTACAGTGGCTAGCCTTGACACAGGACCAGTGACTGTTATGTAGCAGTGCGGTATGACAATCTGATGCGGGTTATCGAACCCCGGCCAATCTCGTACTATTTACTAGGGGGGAGGTTTCCTATATATTCAATATTATTATAGATAAACTTGCAATATTTTGTTTGGCGTTTACATGCACAGTGTCATTATTAATACGAAAATATAATATAACTATATATACCTGGATTAAACGAGTTTTTGACGGTTATAATATCCCTGCTGTCATTTGGGTTAAGGCCGCCGTGTACCGTGAATATACATTATTTTTAAACGCGGATAAACACTCGTTTATAATGTTGTGTGTGTGTGAAGTCGTACATCCAAAAAATGAATGTAATTGCTTTTTAAATCAATTCCGGACATCAAATATTCAGTTCGTAAACTTTTTAGGTACCTATCTAATACATACTGGTAAAGCCGGTATAAGTGTAAATGTAATATGTATAATATAAGACCCTCATAAAGTTGGCAGCACAGACATGACAAAAACGTATTTACGTATAAAATATATTCAACAAATTTATCGGACATTGTTAGATCATTCAAAATTTGGTTAGAATTATTATTGCCATTATAGCTTTTTATAAGCTTTTACTATATTATTATAGTAAGTAATGGTATTGACTTTATAAAATTACGTGGGTATAGCCGATATTTGTATTGGTATACAAGACGCATTTATGTAGGTAGTGAAACCATTACGATGATGGTTTTGATTTACTTATAAATGGATAACTTATTATTAATGTGTGTTTATGATGTTTTCTTATAAATTATATTTATAATAGTATAGAAAAAATTTTTAAAAAAATTGTTTTCAAATAAAAACACAAGAATAAAGTTTGATGTACTTACCTGTGTTTCTCGTTCCTATTAGTATAACATTAATATATATATATATATATATATATATATATTTGAATATGACCATACATTTTTGGGGTTATATTATAAAGGTGAATAATTGTCAGTAAATAATTTAGTATTTATAATCTTTAACACAATTTTATAAATCATTCTATATTTATCTAACTTCCTCAAGAATAATAATCTTGTAATAGAATAAGTCATCTCGTACATAAAAATCTGAATTTTTAAAAAAAGTATGTTATATTGATATGAAATACCGATGTTCACCACCAAGTGAGATTCATACTCTATAAATTATTATTGTTGTTTCTTTTTTGGCATATCATTTTAGTCTTCGTAACTTTGTTATTATTTTATTAAAAAGTAATTTTGTCATTTATCATAACACTCATTATTTTTATTTTCTGTATAGGTGGAAATGATACATTTGCAAAACGCCTACCAGTCGTTGGTCCGACACATGAACGCAATATTCTCTCAAAGACTGTGGTACGTCGTCCTAGAACAGTTCCTGATGAAATACGTATGGAGCGGAACCGGAATGGTGGTCGTGTCGTTACCGATAATAACTAGCTCAAGAGTAGCAGGTAATGACGTGTACCAGGGTAGTGTACCAGGTTACGTACTCAAATTCTCAATGTCATCAAATTCGTATCATTTAAATTTACAATAAAAGTTGTCTTCTTCCATTATTGCACGATGTATTTAACTGCACAAAAAATTACCTAAACAAGTTCTAGTTAAAAAATATCACAGTTAACGATCAGTTCATTAAATTCGGGATTCAGGCTCGTGTGCAATATAAAATCTTTAAGATATATTAGAATAATATTTAAAATTTACCGATTTTTTTTTTTAAACATGTTGAAAAAATATATTTTCATGTAATTATCTGTTATATAACACCTCATTCAGAATTATTTTAAACATTATACTGTAGCGGCATACAGCTATAAAAAATGTATTTATTTTGTGTAAAATATCTATTTCATCAATGGCTAATGTTTGTGTAATAGAAAAACATTAAAAGTTTATAAATAATTCTAATTTATTCTTTGTTTTAATACATTATAAGTATTTAAAATTTAAATTAATGGAGTAGAAAAATTTAAAACCATGATTTAATCTTTGTAGGACGAAATCACTCAAATTAGCTTCTCTGAAATGTGATTGCTTTTAAAATTCAAATAATAAATCAATTTCCCTCATAAAATAGTTGAAAAAGTAGAATATTTGAAATTTTTTACAAAAAATAGAATTATTATCGATATTTGGAAAATCACAGTTTTCAGTGCCTCTACATTCATAAAATTCTAGGAAAAACAACTATTTACTCAGTTTATAAATACCTTATGTGAAGATCATACAAGATCTTAATATTATATTTTATTATATTATTTATATTCTAATTCATTAATACTTAGCAATATTCGTGTAATATCGATTTATATTAAAATGCTGTTCGTTTATGTAATGTGTTTGGTTTGTTCATTTAGAACTTAACGATTCTCCGGATGGAGGAGTGAGCGAGCGAACTCAATATTTGACCACAGCAAGGAATCTGCTAGCTTCAGGAGCCGATGCCGTCGAAAGATTAATGACTTCGTACAAGGTATATATTGTCATTTATCTTATGTATAACAAAATATTGCTCTTAATGAAATCATTTCAACGTCTTAAAAATATAGTATTGAACAATATTGATGATAAACTACGTGATCTGGAACTTACAGCATAAAACAAAAATTAAAATAATATAGCTGGTGCCTGTATGTAATATTCTTATAAATTAAATTTAATGCACTACAGGTCTACAAATGTAAAAAAATATAAGCCATAAACATAATTTTAAATTAATTTTTATGTTTTGTTTGGATACGAATGACATAAAAATTTAATAATTTTTTTTTAGGAACTATTAACTATAAAGTTGTATTCAGTTGACTAATCATTTTCTATAAAAATAAATAAACATAGTTTTCGATCTCAATATCGAATAATTATTTTTATTAATTACCTAAAAAATAAGAAAGAAAAAATAAATATTTTTTTCATAGTCAAACGATCACTATAATATATAAGCCTAAAATAAAAAATATCGTCTTATTAACCAAACAAAAAATATTTTATTTATTTCATTTTTAACTAACCGAAAAAATAAATAAAATTATATAAAAATATACTTGAAAAAAAAATATATCATCTTTGAACTGACTTTACTTTTACTCTAAACACATTTATTATTAATTTATACTTCCACGAAATTTTACTACACGCGGATATGCAACTTATATATTGTTATGAATAAAGAATCCCGACGATAATGTAGTAACAAATCGATTTTCTCTTTTTATTTATTAAAATATTTTTTAGGAAATTGTCGAACTCGCTGGCTACACATACAGGGTAGGTGCCATGCTCGACGTGTTCAACGACGTCAGCAAGTGTAAATACCGTCGAAACGGATTGACCAATGGAAAAGTTCACAAGATGTTACCAAAATTGCACTACAACAAGGACGGGCAACTCGTGATCAGAGGTAAAACTTTGTTTCTGGACTGTGTCTGCCAGAATACGAATAGACGTGTAATACTAATAACAGTAATATAATTACAATAATAATATATGGTGACCGATTGGATTATTTTTCGTTTCGGCCAGGTGGTTGTCAGTTGATACTCTACTGGAAAGAAAAGTTAGTTCCGTTTTCAAAATGACGCGCTATTCCACTTCGTAACGGTACTTTTTCCCCGTATATTATTCACGTTTATTCACTTTCGCACGAATGAAATTGAAATCATGTGTTTGGTCACCGCATGTTTACTAGAAACTTTTGACCTAAGCCGTTGATAGAATACCGGTTGTATCAGTATTCCGATGTATTAAAATCGCGACGGGAACAATAATGATAATTATTCGTGTAAAAACATTTTTAAATAAAAACTTATTACGTCTTATAATATTGGCTGTTTAAATTCTGATACATCGTAATACGAGTATATAGTGTGAAAAAATGGATATTAAACAAATCATTCGTCCGTTTTTTGTACATAATACCGACTCCCGTAAATAAAAAATATCTTAAGCATTTACAACCGTGATGCACTGTAGGTTGTCATCCACTTTCGCGATTCAATTTTAATTGGCGGCAACATCAAAATTATCTAGAACTATTTCGATTGAAAAACTTGCATTATTTTTCTAAATAATCATCATCTCAAAATGGAAGTTATTGTCTTGTCTGAACTACAATTAATTTTTTTTTTAAAAGCGTATATAGTTAATTAGTGACATGAGTATTTAAAATTTTAAAAATTGGAGTATTGGGTGTTGGAAAAATATTTTATCGTTGCCATGCAATATGATAGAGGCTTCTCTATTATACGTATATTTTTAATATTATAATCATTATTATTCGCGCGAGTAATAATAAAATTGTTAAATTTAAAAACTAAAAATCGAATTTAAAAATCAACGATATCGATAAAATATAAATACCAGTAGTCGATTAATGAGTAAACGAAAATTTGACTTAGTGTTGGACCAAACATTCTTGTGACCTGACTTTGGCGTGTTGTTTTGTTCACAGGCGTGGTGAAAAACAGTCCGGACGGTAGCATATCGCTGTACGACGTGCCCATAGTGACGCCCAACAGCGACGTCGTCGTGTCCAGTCTTACGATGACGATGAAACCCGGCGAACACCTGCTGATCACCGGCCCCAACGGGTGCGGTAAATCGTCTCTTTTCAGAGTCCTAAGCGGACTGTGGCCCGTCTACGCCGGCACGCTAATCAGGCCGCCGAATTGTTGCATGTTCTACATACCGCAAAGGTATGAAATACGTATAATTAACATATCCGAACCGCTCTATACCTACCTGTTGCTGATAAAAATAATAATGATCATTTTAATATTTTAATACGCGGATACTATACTCGTACGTTTGTTGTAGACAGTGCTGGTATTGCTGATGCTACTGCTGCGCTGCTTTGATTCGCTGTCCGGGCAGTAGTATTTGACAACGCGATAGAATCTATCGGATAGATTATGCACTATTATCATTATAGTAATTATAATTGACGGGTTTTTTAAGAGAAATGGTTCAATAGTCATGAAAGATATAGGTACCTCTAATTTCCAGAATACTGGAAAAACGACGTTAGTGTTTTTAACAAAATATTTAATCGTCTTGCTATTAAATTGTTTTAATTAAGCAGTGACTATTTTAATGTAGGTACCTATATTTTATTTATGATGAATAGGGCAAAGCTTTGTTGCATGCGCAATGAAAATATGATAAAATATACGGTGAAATTACCAATAAATTTAAGTAACAACAAAGTGAAAGTCTGATACTCTTATTTTTATGCGACCAATAAGTGTATAAGTTTAATAAAATTGAAATAACCAAAGTAATATGACGCAGAATCTAACCTTTCGTTATCACACAATATACACATTTTTATATTTGTAACCAATTAAAATTTAGTAAACCATGGTTATACATAAAATATGTAAAAATATAAAAAATAAAAATTGAACATTATTACATCACCATAACTAACCACATTTTTAAAAGAACGCAGCAACAAAAACCTACCCAATTTTATTATATTATTGCTTATTATATAACTTATGAATTATCCCTTCTTCACTACATCTAAGAACTATGACTTGACATATTTTACAAATTATGCTCTTGGCATTCTGATTTATGACTTTTTTAGTATGACATATATAATATATCACATAACATTATATTATGACTTATCTTTTGTCTAAGAACGAAGATATTTATTTTGTATATTATATTTCATTATTATTGATTTTATTTAATGTTTAGTTAAAAAAAAAAAAAAAAAAAAATGAAAATTACTAAATATGACCTAATGGCTATTTTCAAATATATTATAATATTATGTCTCACAAAAAAAGCTTACTTGTGAATTATACGTAGTGGTACAATTTTATATTTACAACATTATAAACAATGTGGATTGACATTTCTCACAGAATTGACGTAACTATCTATAGATATACCAAAAAACCTAAACTTGACTTATTGAGCTTCTCATAAAAATCGTCCAATATTATAATGAAAAATATTAATAAACGTGTATTGTTATATTTACCAGTCAATATTTCGTGTAACACTATAAAATATGTATTCAGTGTATTATGCTCGATTACTAGTGTAAACACGAATTATTTTTTAATAAATAATTAATAAAACAGTGGTACTCATCGTGTGCATTTGTAGGCCATACATGACAATAGGAAGCCTGAAAGAACAAGTAATTTATCCAGATACTCTTTCGGATATGCTGACCAAAGGAATTACCGAACAAGACTTGGAGGCGTGCCTGGCTCAAGTCCACCTGTCCCATTTGGTACAGAGAGAAGGCGGTTGGGACGCGACAGCGGACTGGAAAGATGTTTTATCTGGTGGCGAGAAACAAAGGATGGCCTTTGCCAGAATCTTTTACCACAAGTGAGTATTACAGTGCAAATTTTAAATATCCAACCTCTTCTCGAACAGAACGTAAAAACATCGCATCTATACTATATCTTATACTATTGAGACCGTTACTTACATTTTCAGACCATCATTTGCTCTTCTGGATGAATGCACCAGTGCCGTGAGCATAGACGTCGAAAGTGATATGTATCAGTCAGCTAAGGACTCCGGCATCACACTGCTCACCATCACCCACAGGCCGTCTTTATGGTAAAGTTCATAATTTTATTGATTCATAACTATTATTAATATTTTATAATTTGTAATTCGACAATAACATCGAAAAAAAACCATTAATTTAATCGTTGATTTTGTTTCAGGAAATTCCATTCGCATATATTGCACTTTGACGGTGAAGGCGGGTGGAAAATTACAACACTAGGGCAAAAAGTAATATTTTACTCTGCGTTTTAATAAACACTATATTAATTATTCATTGGTTTTTTTTTTTTAATTTCCAGGAAAAAGATACCGGTATATTAGCAATTGAACAACCGAAAGATAAATTAGTGAATGGAATTTCGTAGAGTGCAAATCATAAACGTTGAAAACATATCTTGCCAACCTTTAAATTTTAATGAAAACCATGTGATTATTAATTTAATGCTTTATAAGATTAATTATTTTTTAAATGTATGTCCATACCGATCTGGATACGTGTTTTTTTTTCTTCTTCAATTTGTATAATTCTAAAATGGAGAACAGAATAATATGTATTTAAATATTATCATGTATAAAATATAAATAAGGATAACGTTTTTATATAATGTGTATTATTTTTCATAGATTTACTGAATTTCTGGATATATTTTATGTAATATGTAAATTGTATAGGTGTGAATCAAATATATTATGTAGATATTATATTATCTACGCAAATGTATCGTAACTATTTTATGTTAAATGTGTTAAAAAAAGGACGAATAAACTTTGAATGATTGTTACGAAATTTTATCAATATTAACATTAAAATATCTATATTTTTATTTAATTCATTGATAATATATGAAGATTGCCGACATCGCATGATGCACATCTTAAAAATGATTGTTTATCTATAATAAGGGTTCAGATTAAAATAAAAGTCGTAAAAGTCGCTCTGATATACATATAGTTGAAGGGTGTCGAGTTCGGAGTTTCCCTCGTTATTGAGTAGGTAGGTTACTATAATGAATATGTTGAATTTTAATTTAAGTTACTCAGGAAAAATGATTCTGGGCGGAAATCGCCTATTAACCTTTAACTTTAAGGTAGGTATTTTATTACATATGCATACTACTTAGAAATTATAATATTATTAGAAATATATCCTGTTAATAGTATTGTTTTAATATGATAGATTGAAGTAATTTTTCCAAAAACATTTTGCATGCATTAAATATATTATAATAATTATACAACATATTAATTTCATATACAATAATAACAAGCTGTACTTATAAATCAATACCTGTACTGGTGCTCTGTAGAATGATGTGAATAGATATGTCAAATAGCTTAAAATGTTTAGGCTAAATAAGTTTTTTTAATTTTACGTTAAATGGTTTAATTTTATTTCGGTTTTTTGCTTCTACTGCTTTGCAGTTTTTAAAGTTTTTTATAATTTATGTTAGAGTAATATGTTATTTGTTGCTATATTTATTGTTACACCATGTTTTTCAAACATTATCATATTCAGAACAATTGAAGGAGTTCTTATTCATTATAAAATAAGAAAAACCTTAAACAACCGATTAAAATCTCACCTTTCTCAAAATATCTTTTAGTCATTTCGCTACCATCGTCAACAATTTAATTGTGTACACTTGCATTTGTAATCATAATACATTTTATTATATTTTAAAATGATTGTTTTTTAAAAACTAACTTGAAAGATATTAAAAGCACAAATAATTCAACTAAGTATTGAAACAATCAGATTGAATAATAAATTAAAAATAAGATATTCAAACATAACGATCTTCAACATATCATTATACTACTATGACTTCCGAGTTAAGTATTTTTTTTATATAATGCCTAGAAAAAAAAAACAGTGATATACAGGCATACAATTTATGTTAACTGGTCAGCATAGTTAATGACTTACTGTAATGTATCCATATATTTCTATGTTTCTCATAAAATACGAGTTAACGACTTACATAGCTATATTTTAATTCTGGTTTTCACAATATGCTTTGTTGTGTCACTAATGTAGAATGAACATGGTTCAACTTATGAAGTATATAATACTAATTGACTTTAATTTTAGTACCAGCATTTTAATATCAAATTATTATGTTTACGAAAAATAACACAACTTATAGAGTGATTCTTTTATCATTAAACACTCACTGTTTTGTTTCTTAATGGGTTGACTTTTTTCAATTTTTTTTTTTCAAAATGTATAGTTTTATGCTTTTCTAGAATTATATAAAAATTTTACTTTTTTCATGCTTATATTTAATAGTGAAACCACTATTAACTTTTGATTTTCAAATGACAATCTATATTTTAATGTCATATAATAATAGGGTTATTTTTTTTATGAATTTTAACGTTATTATTAGTTTTTATTTCGTTTTAACCGTTAACGAGTTATAGCTGCACAAAGTTGGGTATTTTTCGGTTTGTATTAAACTTCTTGTTTCTGAAGACCTGCAGTTACATAGGTAATAAATAATAGTAATTAATAGGTAAAAAAAAATGTTTACTAAGTGGAGTACAATTTGATTAGAAACATTTCAAACACTCAATTTTTATTCAAGGTGTTTTTTCAAATAATTTCATAAAAACACTTGTTAGATTTTCTATAAGTAGAGTAGAGTATATTAGGGTGTTTATTTTATGCAGATAGATTTTAAAATTTATTTTTGATTACAGGAGTATTACCAAAACCGTTGATAAGTAATTAATAACACATCCAATTTTTATATTCAATACATTTTATCAAAATCTATAATAAGCATAAACATTTTTATACACTTAAATTTTAAATTTAACACTTCAAATTTTATTGTATAATCTTATTGATAATAATTTAAATTTATATTGGTAATAAAATATAACTATTAAAATGTTGAGTTATATTTCATTAATATAACTCATAACTATAAAGTCTATATTATCACCATTTTCAATTCCGTTATAATTATTTTATTTATAAGAGCAAATAGGCAAGTATTAAAGTTATCCATCTATTCCACATATAAAACTAAAAACAGCTTATGTATAAAGTTATTTTACCATATCAATTAACATTTATATAATAGGTATATGTTTCATTACTTAAGTTATAAGTAACTTCTAATAATAAATACTCTATGCATAAAATATAATATTATCTTCCCAGTTCTCTTATTAAATATAACAATCAACTATACAGCCATACTGTATACAGTTTTTTGCTTATGTGTTGACTCTTAGAATAAATTAGTAAAATATATCTAATATACAATACTACTTTATCACACTGAATTAATATTAACATTTTACTTATTCAATAATAATAGACAAATATTAAAAATATTTTTATACTCTATTTACAATTTATAATTACTCACACATTTAAAATGTTATGGGGCAATGTCCCTAGAAACTATGTTTGTGACGCCATCGAGCATTTTAACTGATAAGAATAATAAAGTAATAACAAATAACTAATTTATAATTTATATCTAGAACGGCACAAGTCTTTAGTAATGTATACTCACTCAAGAGAAAAAGTTCTTTTTTTTATTCATATAATAAAAATATACAAATTAAGATATTAAATGTTAATGCAAAATATAAATTGTGTTAACTTGTATTAACTTTTAATAATTAAAAATTTAAACTATGTCTTTAATAGTTCATAATTTTTAGATATAGCCATGATGTCATGTAGTACATGAAATCATTGGGAGTGTTTAATTTTTATTTTTTGTAATACACAGTTCCAATAATTATTGCTTTAATAAAACAAATACAACTTATTTAATCTGAAAAAATTACTATCAATGGTAATTTTTTTTTAAATAAGTCATTATTAATATTAGTTTAACAGTTTAAAATCGTCATACAAATACCTATTAAGCTCAAAACTAAAATGTATTTTAGTAGTTTTGAAATTTCGTACTTGGACATTTTTAACTATTAAAATATTTAAATTAATTTTTGTTATATTTTGGTTACTCCCCAGGTTAGTATGAGAATACTAAAAATATACTATACTATGAATTAAAATTTCATCATAACAACTAATGGAACTATAAATTTGTAAGAAATAGTACATTTTTTAGATTTTGAACTGAATAATTTTATATTTTTATTTTTTCTGTGTATACACTATACAATATACATAGGAGAAATTCTAAGATATATAACTTAGAAGGTGATTCCTAGTAGTAATATGAATCTAGTTAGTAATTTTGGATGATAAAAATAAAAATATCTCAGTTATTTTCATAGTTATCAAGAAAAATTAATAAAAACTATAACTTTTATATAAAACTATATAGTTTTTGATAAAATCTAACTTTGTTTTTTTTGTAATTCAAAAATAAATAGTTATAGAGACTTGGCATTTTAAAATATCCATAATAACTTTTACTTGATATATATAATCTACAAAATATTTTGGCATTTTTAATGCTATTTAAAAACATTTGAAATTTTGAAAATAATTTCAATTAAAAAACTAAAATTTGAATATTTTAGCATGAAGTTGTTTTAGAGAATTTTAAAAATGTTTTTATTCTTACATGGATGCATATCCTTTTGAAAATCTGAAATTCTGAAACTTACGATATTACACATAATAAATTTAAGTATATTAGATTAATTAATTTTAAATCCTGGGTGGACTGATGGCCATTATTTGTATCATATTGTATTTGTTTTTTTTTTTTATGAATATCTATATTATAACTTGTCGATAAAATACATACTTCAATTTTCACGAAATGAGAGTGATTTTGAACATTATTTTGAATCTAGTCTATGCTTTTACGAAGTTTAATTTAAGAATTCCCTGAACTATTTTTTATAATTGGGAAAACAAATAAAAAATTCAGGAAAAACAGCAATCTTCTAGTGAATCAAATTTTTGACAAATTCGTTTATGTGATAACGAGAAAATAAGAGAAAAAAATTAAATAAAGCGAAGATAAATGTAAGTAAAAATGTAACTGAGGCGATATACTTCTACACGTATTAGTACTGGAAAATATAATCATTCATCAGATACCTACCTCGTCAGATACTAATATTAAATTCAAATTATTACCTCCCTCCTGATCTTCGGAGAATTCTCGAAAATATGATCAAGTACATCGTTATGTAAATTTAATATATAATCTATAATAATAATAATATGTAGTATAATATAATCATGTATTCAAGTATCTTACTAGATTTATAGCATTATATGTATGATATTTGTTAGGAAAAAGTAAGGTAACACAAATGAGAAGACAATTTTCTGAGCACTTGAGTCCAGATAAAAACATTACTGGTTTAACTTATTGAAAAGAAAAAGTCCAGTTATCGCTCCCAGAATCTTGTGTTGAGAGCTCTTGCTCAGGTGATTGGTGAACATGCACTGGAAAAGAGATGAT